AAAAAAAAAAAGTTGTTTAATTTAGAAAACCACCATAAAGAGCACCTGATTTCTAGATACAGCTCTGTGAGCTAGACATATGTGTTAATACCAGTCATTAATTTCAATTGTATTTTTTGTGAATCTGTCTTCTCTAACATATGGTAAATTCTCTCAGTAAAACTCTTCATTCCCAATGAAACTGTTTCAAGTTCAAAGCTCAGATCGCCACACTGATGGCCCAGAAAACCTCTTATAATACTGGAAATGAGTCCATTGTCTATAACATCACCTCTTTTAGTATGCAAGGATGGCCCAAAAGAGATTGGGAAACATCTACAGCAGAATATCTGGTTTGACAAGAATTTGGCTTTAACTCACTGTAATCAGTTTGGTGTTTGCAAAGTTGCTAGGTGTGAGTGGCAGCTGCTAGAGTGAAGATGATGATCCCTATAACCCAGACAAGCAAATGTATGTTAACACTAAAGCTACCTGCCTCTAGACCAACAGTCTCATCATTTTTTCTTTGAAAACGCCATTCATAAGCCTTTTATAAGCAATTTTTATTACAAAATAACATACATGCCAATTACCCAATGATCTTTGTAACCTCTCATTTTCTCTGATTGACCAATTATGTATCACTTTCTTTTTCAATGCATTCTCCAGCCCAGAGTTTTACAAGCCAGCACCCAGGTTTCTTTAGTCATCTGTTGTGGTAAATGTTTTATAGAGGCTCTTTACAGACACACACACACACACACACACACAGTGCATAATATGAGCTTAGAATATTAACACTATAAAATTGACATCTTTCAATACTGTCCATCTATTAAAGAAATTTTATGATTGGTAATTGTGTAAATAGCTACTTTACAAAAAAATCATTACTGAAAAGCACACAAGCCAGATATTAGATAAAAGTCTCACAAATTTTCCAGGCTACCATGAATAAGTATCACTTTCATTTTTTCCTTAAACAGATTTTAAAACAAGCTAGGTATTAGAAAAAAGTCTCACAAATTTTCCAGGTTGCCATGAATGAGTATTACTTTCATTTCTCCTCAGATTTTAAAACAAGCCAGACATTAGAAAAAAAGTCTCACAAATTTTCCAGGCTGCCATGAATGAGTATCACTTTCATTTTTCCTTAGACAGATTTTAAAAAAAGAAGTGGGGCTGGGTATGGTAGTCCACACCTTTAGTCCTAGCACTTGGAGGGCAGAGGCAGGTAGATTTCTGTGAGCTTGGGGCCACTGTGGTCTACACAGTAGTTCCAGGACAGGCAGAGATACATAATGAGACACACATGGTCTCAAAAGAAAAAAGAAAAAAAAAAAAAGAGGGCAGCTGTCTTGTTACAATTCCTCTAGTTCCTCTGGTTATATTTCTTGGTATATAATAAACAGTGCTAAACGAAGCTCCAAAAAGAATATATCCTGCCTGACTCTAAATCATTTAATTCTTTGTGTTGGTGACCAAATTTATGGACTATTAGTGAAAACTTCAGTAACTGGGAATTTGTATAAGTTTGAGCAACAATTTAAGATCATTATTTAAAATAATGTAAAAAGTAAACACATTTTTTTTTTTTTCAAAACCATTGTTAACAGGCTTCCAAACAAAAACTTAAAATTGATTCTTTTAGGGCTAGGGATATAGCTTATTGGTAAACCACTTGCCTAGTAAGCATGAGCCTCTAGGTTCAGCCCCCAGTACTGTGGGAGTGGGGGTCTACTCATTTATATCACAGAAAGTTCTCCAAGGAGACATGCTATGTAGTTGAATGTAGCAGAAGGTTTTTCTCTCAGTGGTAACTCAGACTTTACAAGTAAACTGACCGTCTTTCAGTTTGTCTAAATTTTGTTATACACCTCTGGAATTTACGTGTAAAAACGGTATGCAGTGTTTAAACTGTTTTGTCCACGTTCTCGTAGTCTGTGAATGCAGAAACTCCAGTAAGTGAAATGCAGAAACACCCTATCCAGAATCCAAGTAAACTAATGGCTCTCAATATAACAGCGCTGCTTTCCATCCGGCACCTGTTCATTTCACACTGCCCTAACGCAGCATTCCGTTTTCCCAACAGCGCGGCTGGAGCAGAACTTTTTCGTGTCAAACTTCAGGAATAAGGTGGTGACGGCTACGCTTCAGAAAATGGAAATCCACCCAATGCGTATGAACTCAACACGATTTTAGAGGGCCCCACGGATGAATTAAAAGTTTAAACCGGGTAAGCGCCTTCATAAGGCGATTTAAAACTACAATTTTCGCTATAATAGGACACGCAAAAGTATCTCTGGCCGTTCCTCCTCCTGGGGACGTTTGGAAAGGGGTGGCCAGAAGTAGCAGGAAAACTGCGCAACAACTTGGAATCCAGGACTTTAACTCGCCCTTTGCAAGAGCCTCCAGGACCCGGGACCAGCGCCTCCCGTGGTGGGCATCTGGGACACCGGGAGTTGGCAGGGGCCACTTGTTGGGCCAACCTCCTCGTCGCCGCCACCTTCCCCTCCCCTCAAGTCCAAGGACAGCGACGACGTTCTCCTCCCTCTTCTCCTCCTCTTTGGGGCCTCGAGCCAGGAGGCGGGGGTGACCCGCAGCAGCTGACCCAGCCCGGGCACTGCCTCTCCCACAGCCCTCAGGACACACCATGGGCCCGGAGGAGGCTGGCTGGTGGCACTCGAGCGACGACGCAGGCGGCGGCCCCGGCGACTCTCAGCTTCCTCCCTGACCACCGCGGCCACCTCCCCGGGGGCCGTCGCCACCGCCCGCCGGGGAACCCTCAACGGCGGCAAAAAGCCACCTCCGCTACGGACCCTCAACAGCTACGTAAACAGCCATGGCGGGCGAGGGGCGGGCGGCCGAGGCGCTGGGCGAAGGATGGGCCGCCGACGTCACGCCCAGAGCCCCCATCCGGGCACCGCGGCGGAGGCTCGCCCCTCAAAATGGCGACGGCAGTGACGCGCCTGCGTACGGAGCCCATCCGTCGCGCCACGGACGACGGGAAGTGAGGTTTTCAGAAGAGCCGCCAGAAGTGTACGGCGACTTCGAGCCCCGGGTGGCCAGAGAAAGGTCCCCGGGGGGGAGACGGACCCTGCCCGAAAAGTTCCGGCCGGATTCTGCGAAAGAGGAAGTGAGAGAAAGCGCTTACAACCTTCGGTCTCGACCACGGAGGCGGCGGAGCCGGGACGCCGAGGAGATGAAGACGCGGAGGTCCGCCCGCTTTGAGCAGCCGCAGCCGCAGCCGCAGCCGCAGCCGTCTCCGGCTACGAGCCGACGAGGGTTCCGGGACTCTCAGTCCTCAGGTGAGGACCGCCGAGGTAACAGTCTCGGCGGCCAGCTCCCGGGCGCGCGCAGGGGCGGGCGCGGGCTCGGGCGCGGGCACGGGCGGCGGGAGGACCGCCCCATGTGGGAGTCCGGCCCCGCCAGGGTCCTGGGGAGTCGGCGGCCCTTGGGGCGCGCACTCCCGGGCTGAGGCCAGCCGGACCCCTCCGGAGGGAAGGACGCGCTGACCCGCGCGGAGAGATGGTGGTGCCGAGTGACCCGAGCAGTTACGGGGAGCTCTGCCCATGCCTGAGCATCAGTTTAAGGGGGTCTAGGTCGCCTCTTTCTGCAGGCTTTTGCTAGCGTCGGCGATTAAGCCATTGTCGGGACTCCAGAATTACGCTAGGCTCGGTTTCATTTCCGTCCTCTCTGCGGAGGCTTCTATCGAAGCCACTTCCATTTCCTTTTTTTTTTAAATCTTGGGGCTACCAAGTCCCCAGCTGAGAATCGTGGTTTTAAGTTAACTTTCCAGTCTATTTATCTTCCCACCAAAACTGGGGGAAAGAGATGTGTTTCTAGGCGAATGCTACTAAGAATAGCCGACTTGAATGAATTGGCTTGTGACCTTACCCCAAAGGCGTAAAGTGTAGTGGTCTCTGCCCAACTTTCCCCCCAGGTTGAAGGCCATCCGTGTAACCCCAAGTACCTAAACAAATCAAGGCTGACGAAGTATCGAAATAAAACAAGGTTCTATTAATTAGGAACCCCCAACTACCGACAGTGTGTGTACTATAGTTAAGTCACAAGTGAATCAAATTTCTTTAAAGACATCCCCCTACACTCTGCTGTCAGATACAACCGAGTCACAGGTGGTTTCCAGTAAGTCCCATATAAATTACCTAACTGTGAGGTAAAATTTGGAGGGTTTGAGTCACAATGGAATGACATCACTAGTAGTAGACATTGATACATCTAAAAAGGAGTGAATTTTCAGCAGATTGGAGCACAATAAACGGCTTGTAGGTTTACTTGCTTGCCCCTAAAATACCGACACAGTTGAAGACCTGTTGATTTTTGGAAACTTTATGCTAGAGATGTGCATGCTCTTTTGAATGCAGTAAGACAGTTTGTTCTGTATATATGTTAGTAGTATTTCTTTTAAGATGATAAACTTGTTGAAAAACAGGAGCCTGTCATGTATGCCAGGTAGTAATGTAGGTACTTGGTTTAATTCTGTCTCAGAATCTGAGACAGTGCTTTGCAGGTGGGCAGCAATGTGTTAACTTTTTATTGACTCTCCCACAGAGCCTCCTGCACTTTAATAAATTTGACCTTTTGGAACATTTTTTTTTTTTAAAGGATTTGAACATTTCTTTTACCTGTTCAATCCACATCAGTTTTGACTCTTGAATCCATCTCTTTAATTTTCTAAAAGTAATGTTTTTGTTGTAAAGCAACAGTTAATAGTTAATAGTTTTACTTGTGTGTGTCTGCAGTTGCATGTATCTGTGTGAGTATAAGCACACAGATGAACAGGTACTCTTGGAAGCCAGACGATGACATCAAGTTCCTTGGAGCTGAAGTTACAGGCTTTTGTGAGCTTCTTGGACAGATGTGCTGGGATCTTATAGTCCTCTGGAAGAGCAGCAAATGCTCTGAACCACTGAACCCTCTCTCCAGACCTCATTATAATGTGTCTTAAAAAGAATTCTGACTAGTTTAATTCCCAAGTTTTGAACCTAGGGAAATTGAGTACTTGTATCTCTATTTATAGATTACTGTTAAATATGCATACTCTGGGCCTTGATTTCTCCCAGATCATCTAACTTGAGTTTTATCTCTTGTCCCTTCTGTAGAGGATGAACCTTCTTCCCAAACTGTTACAAGCCCAACAGCCTCAAAGAAAACTGTCAGAACACCAGAGACTTCAAGTAAGAATAATTTGTGTTTTGTTTTTCTCTTTACCTGCCAAGGGCTCATCAAGAATCACAACTCACACTTCAAAGTTTTGTGAGTTGTCTTTATCAGTTCACTAAATTAAGGTACTCCAAGGACACACAAGAGTGAACTGATGAGTGAGTTCAGCTGTCAGCTCCTTTGTATTTGTGATCCTCATAAACTTGGAGGGAAGTATTCTGCCCCCCTTAGTGGATGAGAAAACTGGAGCTCAGAGTACCTGAGGTTCTTCTCTAAGATCACAGGCTCAGGTTTGTCTGTCTAAAACGTTCTCATTCTCCCCAAACCCTCACTTTCACTCTCAGGTAATAACTCAGAGTGTCAAATGGTTACGTCACAGTGCTTTCTGCTTATTGTTTCTGTATACTAAAACCCTGGCACAGTGATTCAGTTCAGCTTATTGCTGTGTTTCCTTAAACCCAAGGTTTCAGTTGTAAGGTGCAACATCATTGCTTTATGTACCACCTAGAAGAGAAAAAATACTGCCAATTTTCTGATAATTTATGATAACATGCCATAGTGTATGATTTCAGAGGTATTTAAAATGTAATAAAGAAAAATTGTCTTAGAATCACTATAAAAGGCAAATAGGTTGCATTTACTAGTTCACTGAAGTATTTTTTTTTTTTAATTCTTGTGTGTTGATGATGTGTATAGTTGCCACTGTACACTTGTGGAGGTCAACCTCTGGAAGTAGATTCTCTTCTATCTTTATGTGAATTATTGTCACAGAACTCAGATTGTCAGATTTGGCAGCCAGTGCCTTTGACCATGGAGCCATCCCACTGGCGTGATGAAATGTATCTTTATATGTAATTTTCTGGACTAAAACCAGCATGTTTTAAATGACTTTATTACAAACACTATACTTTTGAACTCAGATCATCTGAAATGAATCATGGCTAGCATTAATGTTTTATTTAAAATTAGTCCTTCCATTTCCTGGACATATGCATGATTAAATAGTCAAAGAGAGTATGTTAACTCAAAAAATATATTACAAGTATATATCATAAAGTGTGACAGTACATGCCTATGATCCTAGCACTTGAAAGGCCAGGGTAGGAGAGTTCTTCCAGTATAAAGCCTGCCTATGCTACGAAGTGCAACCTGTTTAAAAAAAAAAAAAAAAAAAGCAGAGGCCAACCCCACACATAGTTGATGATGTAGTGCATATTTTGGTCCCCACCCCACCCTGCTTTGGCATGCTAAAGATTGAACCCAGGGTCTAATACAGGCTGGAGAAGCTGCATCTCTGGTCCCAGAATTTGGTTACTAATAGTTTTTGGTTTTGGGGGCCAAGGCCTCATGTAGTCTTAAGACGGTACTTGCACCCACTGGGTGGCAGGGGATAACCTAATATCAAACTCCTGTTCCTCCTGCCTCTACCTCCCATATATTAGAATTATGGGCATATACATACACCATCATGCCTTGCTTGAATATGGGAAGAATTTTATTTACTGGTCCTCTTCTTTTGTACAATACGGTCTACTGAGAAAAAATGTCAGGTTTCAAGACCATACATTCTGTATAGCAGGTAAGTTCACTCTAATTTACTATTGCTAGTAGTTCACAAGAGGATGTCCCCTAGAGAAATTTGCCTCATAATCAAAGTTTGGGAAACTTTCTTGAACCAGAGAGGATGAGTGCATACTAAATTTTATGTTTCACATATATTTCTCTTCCTGCGCCAGTGATGAGTGAAGATCCTCTAAGTAACTTACGCAGACCCCCGCTAAGAAGCCCAAGATCATCTGGTAAGAGATTGCTCTGTTGGTTTAACTCTTTCTTACAAAGACAGCCTCACTTCTAGAGGAGACGTGTATTCATGTGGATCAAAACTTAGGCCGGCATGGTGGTACACACTTTAATCTTAGGACTTTGAAGGCAGAGGCAGGGGGATCAGGAGACCAAGATCATCTTGGCTACAGAGAGTTTAAGGCCAGCCTGCGCTACATGAGACTAATGAACTTTCTGCATCCACTGTCTTCTGTCCACCCTGCCTTAATGTCAGAAGTAGCCAGTGTCAGCTTATTTCTCCAGAAATACTTATTTCACCTGCATCTTTTGTCAGTGCTGAAGCTTGAACCCACATCCTTGCACATACTAGGCATGCTTTCTGTCAGAGCCGTATCTACCACCAGTCTCCCTTTTTAAACACTGAGCCTGAATCAGTGAATATTCTTCTGCACCTCCTTGTTGCTGGTTTCCACATCATTTCACATGTATCAAGAGAGCTTTCCATATTGGTGTATATAAAAGGCTTCCGAGTTGTTTTTAAAAGATTATTTCTGCTATGGTTCTCTTGTGCTTGCATGATGCTTTCAAATTAAGGTCGAGGACTTTTTAGTCTTCTCAGTATATCACTAACAAAAAATTCAAGACAAAGGTTTTGTGGCATGGAGCTATAAAGTGTTGCTGCCTCAACTAATTTCTTTTTGACTAAAACTTAGGAAGTACTGAAATTGGTTTCACAATGGTGAAAGAAACTAGTAAGGTCACTCCATCCAATCTGCTTGCACTTCGTTTTGTGCTTATCGGTCCTCTTGACTAGGTCTCTGTTGCATCTCAGCCGCTCCCTTTAAGATAGTAAGATCTCCGTGTCTGAGTATGTGGTTAAGGGACTGTATGCTGCCGTTCCTTTTCAATTCTAATCCTCTCCTTGCTGTCTCTCTTACAGATTCAACATACAAAACCAATGGAAATACTAAAATGAATGAAATAGGTTTGTTTTTCTCTAATTCTTAAATGTTCTTATTGAGGATTCTTAGCAGCAAAATATACAAGTGTGTGTGTTTTGTGGTTGTCTCGAGACTGTTACTTGGTCCATTATCTCTGCTTGTGGGGCAGTGTCCCTGGAATGAAGGTCTACTTGAATTCCTTAGGTTTTATTCTGTCTTCTTTGTTACTCGAATTTATAAGAGAGCACGTAGTAGTAAGTACTTTTGTGTGTGTGACCCTACACATGCTTGTCAACATTCTCCCATTGAGCCTCATCCTCTCAGCCCTTCTGTTTGTCTCCTTCTGTTTTGTTATTGTTTGGTTTTTTGATTTGTGAAACAAGAT